AGATAATCATGCCCGATCTGACAGAAGCCTGGAAATGAGTGCGCGAGGTGGTTATAAAAGGCTCCCTACCCCCCAAGAACAAGGTATGCTAACTTTTGCGCTATCTGGCTTATCTTGCCTTTGAAAGACTCTAACTTGAGATTCGGAGCCCTTACGCCGGGTTCTCCCCGGAGCTTCTTCACCCCCTCCGTTTCAGGTCCCCTGCCACTCAGTTTAGAGGCAAGATCGTTGACAGCTAAGATCGGCCGGATTGTGCATCATCAGGTACTAACTTTAAATTAACCCCAAAGTTCGGATACTAATCAAGAATTTTCCCTTTTTGTTAATATAATGAATGCATAATACTAGATAATGTACACAAATGTTTTCTAAAAAAATTATTTTATTTTTAATATTATTTTTTACATTTTTATCCTTTTAAAATTTTATTATTTAATTATGACATCATGGTGTGATTAATTTAGCTTAAAAGGTCAATCCATTGACCTGACACATAGAAAAGTGATTTCATTTCTATGTTGAGTTATAATTTTTTTTTATTTCATTTCCATCATTAATAAAAGTACTTTTAATTTACTATACTCATTTTTATTAAATATAATGAATACATAATATTAGACATGCATACAAATTTTCACAAAATCTTTGTATTTTCAGTAATTTTTATATTTTTTTATGACATCATGGATTGACCCATATGATTGAACTACTTACTATCCACTTGAAGGGAACAATGGCTTCATTTTCATATTGGTTTTGAACTCATTGGTTTTGTAATGTTACAATTGATGAGTACATTTAATTAGGTAGAATTTATTAACAAAAAACAAAAATACCTCAAACATAGGATTTAATGAGAGAATGGGAATTGACATCTTTAATATACGACTTGGAGAGGAAATTGAATGAAGTGAAAAGTGAAAATTCAAATTATGTTTTTTTCTCTCGTGGCCAATTAGGTAGCAAATTTAAATGTTTGGGCATTTTATCCAAGAAAAAGTCTACAGAACTCATTTATTTAATATATTATAAATATAATATTTAATAATAGAGAATGAAAATTAATACCTTAAATACCTTGTTCTTCATCTAGAACCATGTTCATCTTTTTGTTGCTAATAGAGATCAAAAAGTTACCTCTTTATACTAGAATCGCTACAAACAACACCAAGATATCAAACAACAAGGAAAAAAAAGAGAATTGAAGCAAGTAAATGCCGAATGCTCTACAGCCAATTTCGATTAATTCTTTGGGTGATGATAGCCAACGGTAGTATAGATGGTCTGCACCAATGTGAGAAGAAGAGTGATAATGATGAGATTCACAATCCTGTCCCATTTGCTGCGTTTCACATAACTACGAATCTCAAGACTGGTCGTTTACTACCTCCGGCAGGCGTAAATGCACCAAGGTATTGTGCAAACTTTCCACACTTGCAGTATCGACATCAATGATCCCATGTATAGTAAGGACCTTGGCATCTTCATGACTACGAACCAGCAGCTCACTCATGAACTTCAAATATGAACAAAACTCACCACCGCTTCTGTCTTAATACAACTCCCCTTTGAAATCAATCAAGCTCTCAAGCAGCATCTTTGTATTGGGTCCAGTGGAGGTGAACGGAGGTAGAGATAAGCATCAAATTTCAACCATTTTGTCTGGAATTTTATCCCTCTAATCCCCATCCCTTTTTGTTTCTGAAGCTAATTCCAGCTTCTCGCAACTCCGTCGTGCTGCGGAAGGTGGATCACACACTGTCATCTTCTTTGACATCACCATCACTCAAGTCAGGCCCAGTGAGAGTAAGGCAAAGAGCATGGAGAAGGGTTGGCGCTTCTTAAGAAATGATGTAGTTGCTCTTCTTCCATGGAGATCAAGCATGGGCTTCATCAGACTGTCATACAACACCATCCTCGCCAAGTCATGGGGTCCCTTCCATTTTCCCCTACTCAACACCGCTTGAAAGAAGCTTTGCTCCATCAGCTTCTGGAGGATCAAGAGGGGGAAATTGATTACTGATGGAAAACATGGACGAGACCCAGTTATTGAACATTTCCTTGTCCCAATGTTCGCCCAGATTTCTATCCTCAGGGTTAACCAACGATGCTAAACCACCCAAGGAGCACAAGCCCACTCGCAATATGAAGCAGCCTTGCTTCACCTTTATATCCACAAACTTTCCTCCCTTGGGGACTACATTGAATTTGTCATCAGTAGCATATATCTTTCTGGCTTCGTCCTCTAGAGCTGCAACTTCTTCTTTGTATTTTCTCTTAGTAATTCTGTACAATATGTTGCCACTATAGTTCTAAATGCGGAGATGCTAACGAATCGGTAAATCTTCTAAACAAGTTAACAGTCGAGAGGGCTTTTTAAGGGAGAGAGTAATTTTGTCCTATAACATATAAATATAATGTGTATTTCATATGGTGGATACAATACACCTCGTGTATTAGTGCCCCTATGTGATATTTCTTTCAAAATGTTGCCTAAGGATGAAAAATTACCCTTATGGCCTAAAAACCCTAGAATCTAGACCTCGTTCCTACTTCTATACTAATTTTATTATTAATATAGAGAGATTAATATAGATATAGATAGAACGTGCTATGCACCGAACAAAAAGAAGAATTAAGGAGAACAACCAATCAGCGCAGATTAGAATTTACTAGGCCCAAAATAAAGGGAATGCATCCTGACCGTGAATTGATAACAAATTCATGAACAGAAGGATGTGGTTTATAGGGGAAAAAGGGCTACAACAGTTGTAGGGGGCTGGAATTCAGAATTCTGCATCGTGTGTTTCTCGTACTTTTCCCAAAAAAAATTAAGTATCATAAATTTTCCCTTAACTTATATCACATGATAGGCTGATTTAAGTCTTGTGGCCTGCGCATAAATCAAGGTAAACATTGACCTTACCTTAATTAATTAGCAGGATCATGCCAACCAGTATGAGAGTATATAATTGACTGGAATCAAATTGGTAATTAATTAAGCGTAAATTACGAGCTTTAACTAGTTAATTAATTAACTGGAATGTAGCTTTAAATACTCTCCAGAGGAGAAGAATGAAGAACAGGAGGCAATGGAGAAAGAAGAGTTGGTTTTCGTCCCCTCACCGGGAGCCGGTCACCTGGTATCAACCATTGAGCTTGCAAAGCGCCTCATTGATCGACATGATCGCCTTTCAATCACTGTTCTCTGTATAAAGCCACCCTCTATCTTGAATGCCGGATACATTGATTCACTAGCTTCTTCCGCCCCTTGGATTCGCTGGATCGAGCTCCCCTCGGTAGACCCTCCTTCACCGGAGACTTGCAAGCTACCGTTCAGCTTTATCTCTCGCTTCATTGAAGGCCACAGACCCCACGTAAAACAAGCTGTCACCCAACTCATGGCTTCTCAGCGCCAGTCTCGAATCGCTGGGTTGGTCCTCGATCTCTTCTGCTCTCCCTTGATCGACGTAGCGGCAGAACTCGGCATTCCGTCCTACATGTTCTTCACCTCCCCAGCAGCCATGCTCGGTCTCATGCTCCACTTCCCAACCCTCAATAGTCAGACGACCACCGATTTAAAGGACTCAGTTGAGTTGATAATACCGAGTTATGTCAACCCGGTATCCCCCCGATTCTTGCCTGTGTCTCTATGGATCAGGAAAGAGGACGCCTACATTCGGTGGCTCTATCACTGTCGTCCTTTCAGAGAAGCCAAGGGCATCATCGTAAATTCATTTTCCGAGCTTGAATCTCACGCTATTAACTCATTCTCAGATGGTCGAACCCCGCCGGTTTATCCGGTTGGACCATTGATCGACTTGGAGTCTCGGATCCACTCGCCGTCCAACCGCATCCGACGAGATAAGATCGTGAAATGGCTGGACGACCAACCGCCGTCGTCGGTGGTTCTGCTGTGCTTCGGAAGCATGGGAGGCTTTGGTGCTCCCCAGGTGAAAGAGATAGCGGTTGGGCTCGAGAGGAGCGATGTTCGGTTCTTGTGGTCCTTGCGTCAACCTTCCGAGGTTATGATGGGCCCACCCCGTGACTACACCAGCGTTGAGCTTGGGGAGATCTTGCCCAATGGGTTCCTTGATCGGACGGAGGGGAGAGGCTTGATATGTGGGTGGATCCCACAAGTGGAAGTGCTGGGCCACCCAGCGATCGGAGGGTTCATATCTCACTGCGGGTGGAACTCGATATTGGAGAGCCTCTGGTTCGGCGTGCCGGTGGCCACGTGGCCCCTCTATGCTGAGCAGCATTTAAACGCGTTTGAGATGGTGAGGGACTTGGGATTGGCCCTGGAGATCAGACTGGATTACAGGAATGGTGATGATTTGGTGAGTGCGGAGGAGGTGGAACGAAGTGTTAGATCTTTGATGGACGGTGATAGCGAGGTGAGGAGAAGGGTGTGGGACATGAGGGAGAAGAGCAGAGCAACAGTTGTGGACGGTGGATCTTCATTTTCTTCCTTGGGTTTTCTGATTGATGATCTGATGGCAAAGAATTGACCCATCTTGCATTAATTTCTGCTGCTGCCCTTTAATTTTCACTTTTTGTTTTAATCTTTTTTTCCTACAACAATTACTACTCTTCTTCTCTTGTGTTGTTACTCGTTTAGGATAGAAGACAAGTGAGAGAGTGCTCCAAATCTCTCAATATAGACTTATTTTTTTTTCATGGAAACTCGGGTTTGTCCTTCTAACCAGTAGAATTATTACTATGTTGTTAGAAACAATTTTTTACCCTATTAATGTAATATGTTGGAATGATAGATTAGTGCATACAATGGGCTGCACTAGAAAAAATTGTTTAGGACACTCTGGGCCCATGGTGTATTTTGGGCAATTTTAATGCTCTAAGAAGCAGTGATGAGAAGGAGGAGGAAGGAAAATATACATGGAAATTAAATAATATTATGGGAAAATTGATCAGGTCTTAGCAAACAAGGATTGGAAATTGGTGTACCTGAACCAAAATTCTGCAGTCTCTATGGGGATCCACTTGCTTCTTCATGCTATCAATAACTAATTTAGAATCTTCTTCAATTGTGAGGTTGAGGGCAAGATTATGGGCTTCCCAAGCAGCCCATGCTTCAGCAAGATTAATAATCGTATATCCAATTTCATATGCTTTGAAGTCTAAAATCTGGCCCAAGTTATTTTTGGCCACACAAGCAATAGAACATGGGTTGTTTCAGCAAGATTCATTCTTTGGATCATTATCAAGACCCGCAACATCCTCCTCAATGGATCCTTTGTATTTCTACTGTTGCTCTCCAAATAAATCCACCAATCGAGAACGGAATTGTTGTTCTCCGGAGGAGTCAGTATAGAATCTCCTGTTATGAGCCAAATTTGTCTAGTAAAATGGCACTTTATGAAGATATGAGCATCATCCACCTCTTCTCTACAATAACTACAATTGCCGTCAATATCAAATCCTCTATTCTGAAGGGTCATTTTGGACGGAAGTTTGTTGTTTAGTAAAAGATATAAGAAGATTTTAAATTTCAGAGCAATTTTCAATTTCTACACATTTATTGATTTCCTTTGATGCCCTAGTAGGGTTTCCATGCATCAGACAAGCCACATTATAGGCAAACTCGGTAGATAAACTACATTCGAGTTAAGCCTCCATATGAGTTTATCCTCGTAATCCCTAGAGAGATAAAACATGGTTTTTATTTTCTCCAAGGCACTAAATTTTTAATTAAGTCCTCCCTCCAAGTTCTGCTACCTTGGTTGATGACTTCACTCACTCTGAGATCCAAATTAATCGATTCTGCATTATCAACCAATTTGATTAATGGTTCCTCATCTGACCACCTATCAGTCCATATTTTTGTGTTATTACTGTTGCCAATAATCCAGCCTAAACCTCTCTTAATCTATTCTCGAGAAGTTAGGATGCCCTTTCAGGCCCATGAATGATTTTTTTTTTTTTTTTGTTTAGTGTCCCAAAATTTTTCTCTCTTCAAATATTTATTTTTAACAATTTGAACCCATAAATTATCTTTTCCATTCAGTAATTTCCAACCTAACTTCACTATACATGCTTCGTTCATCCATCCCAAGTTCTTTAGGCCAAACCCCCCGACCCCCAATGTTTTGAGGTGCACACCCTATCCCAATTGACAAGGTGGAGGGGTTTCCTCTCTTTATTGTTGGTACATAAGAAATTTCTTCACTTTTCTTAGGTCTTGAATGACCATTTTTACGACTTTGAAAGATTTCATAATATATTGAGGAATCATAATACTTGAAGCCTTAATGAGCATAATTTTTCCTGCCAAGGAGAGGCAAGGAGAGAGAATTTCTTTTCCATCCAGCTAGCTTATTATCCATTTTCTCACTTAGAAATTTAAAGGTGCCCTTGTTATATTTGTTCTTAAAAACTAGACACTCAAGTAATTCTCATTTTTTGTCTATAGAAGAATCCATAGAATTTTAGCCATGACTTTCTTTAATCTTAGATAAATATTTTTTTGAAAAATTTACGGATGACTTTGCAAAGTCTAGAGCCTAACCTGAGGCTTTTGCAAATCTGGTCAAAACATTTTTAACAGTGAGGCAAGCTTAAATATCCACTTTTGCAAAGATGATACAATTGCATGCAAACTACATAATTGTAATGGTCGGACCTTGTTTAGAAATTCAATAACCAATATGGATCCTAGGAATAGCTACTTCCCTCTAAAGGTTTAAAGAGAGGGCATCAATGGATAGGACAAAAATGTATGGAGACAATGGGTACCCTTGCCAGATCCCCCTAGAAGGGGTGATTTCTCTTGCAGGAACACCATGACCCAATTTATCCAAATACTGTGAAATCCAAACTTTCGAAGGACCTTCTCAATGAAATTCCAATCAAGTCTATCATAAGCTTTTTCTAAACTTTACAGGCCATAATTCCCTCTTTACCCTTCCTATTCGTTATAGTGTGCACAATCTCATGGGCAATAAGAACATTATTTGTGATTTGTCTTGTCGGAATTAATGCACTCTGAAAAGGGGAGACAATATCATTCAGAAATGGTTTAATTGGATTGACCAAAATTTTTTAGATAATTTTATAGATAACATTGCACAACTAATGGGTCTATAATTGTTTGCTATTTGAGGATTGGGATTTTTTGGAATAAGTGTATTAAAAGTTTTATTAATAATCTTGTTCATCTTACCATAATGGAAGAAGGCTTTCACCATACATATGGAATTTCCAATAATGGCCCAATATTTTTTTAAATAAAGCATTAAGGCCATTCGGCCTTGGAGCCTTGAGGTCCTTCATAGAAAATAATGTGTCTTTTATTTCTTCATCTGTCATTTCCCTAATAATGTTCAAGTTTTGATCATTGGACATGTACGGGTTAATCGCCTCAATAAACTCCCCAATGTTTTATGAAGTTTCAACTTTAAATCTATTCTCAAAATTTTCACAAGGAAAATCAACAATGCTCTTTTGATGGCAAATCCATTCTCCATCATTTTTTTTTATCCTTGTAATCTTGTTCTTGCTCTTCCATATAGTGGTTGTAGAATTGAAAAAGCTGTTATTTTTATCTCCCAATTTAATCCAATTAAGTCTTGGTTTTTGGGCCCAATATGTTTCCTCTTTCGCTAGAATTGAGTTGAGATGTCTTTGGAGAGCAGTTTCCAAATTCAATAGAGAATTATTATGTTGATCATTCTATAACTTCATTCAGACTTCTCCTAGTTGCTTCATAATCTTTTCTTAGGTGGAATATATTACCAAATTTTTGTTTATTCCAGTCCCTTAAAACTTTGACTAGGATATTTTTTAGGCCGCATTTGGCAAGTCTTTCTGTGCGGGCTTTGGGCTGTTTAAAAGCTCAGAAGCCTTAATTCTGGGCTTTTCCTGTTCGGCAATAGAAAGATCTATTGGAAAAGCTCCACACTAAAAACTATTTGAATGTGTAAGTGGGACCTATCAATAGTATGTGGGGCACACCTTGGAAAATGTATGTGGGGCCCGCATTAGGTACTATGTGGGACCCACATTGAAAAATGTATATTGCCCCACATACATCCACACATGGACCCCACATACATGTCCACACATGGACCCCACATGCATGTCCACTAGTGGTATGTTGCACCCACCTTGAAAAATGTATGTGAGCCCCACATACATGTCCACAAACGGACGCCACATGCATGTTCACCAATGATATGTGGGCCGACCTTGTAAAATGTATGTGGGCCCCACATACATGTCCACATAAGGACCCCACATGCATGTCCCCCAATGGTATGTGGGGCCCACCTTGAAAAATGTATGTGGGTTCCACATACATATCAACCAATGGTATGTGGGTTCCACCTTAGAAAATGTATGTGGGTCCCATGTGTTAAATGAAAGGTTCGTTGGCCCACACACAAGACATTCATATAAACAACACATATTTTCATCACATTACCAAACGGTCTCTAGCTTTTATGGTCTTTCATGAGATCTATGAAAAACATTTCAACCAAAGAGTCTTTGGTCTTCCAAGATCTATTTGCAAAAGCTTACCCTATCTTTTAACTATTAGATCTTGTAACAGATCTTCTGGAAATCAAAAGACTTGCCAAACAGGCACTTAATAAATTGAGTGGCTTTTGATCCATCAGAAAGAATGCTCCAAGCATTTTGAATAACATCCTCAAGACTTGAGTCAAGGCACCACATAACCTCAAATTTGAAAGGCTTGGGGCCTAAATTCAACTTTTCATCCATTTGGAACAAGAGAGGAGAGTGATCCGAATCAAGAAATTGAAGGTTTACAAGGAGACTCCGGGTGGTTCATCCTCTACAAATTATTTGCAAAAACCCGATCAAGCCTCTCTTTGAAATTGCGGTTTCTCCAAGTAAATTGGATTCGTTGCATTTCCATCTCAATTAAGTTGCATGTATTAATAAATTCAATAAAGTCCTTTGTTTTACTATAAGATATAGGCCTACCACCCCACTTATTGGTCAACATTATCAAAAATTTCCTTGAGCCAAGACCAAACAACTTTTTTCTCTATATGGTTTGGAGAAGCATAGACAAATGTGCATAGCCATGATTAGTTTAGCAATAGATCCTCAACTAATGCAGGAATAATTCTATCATTTGAGAATATGACATTTAGGTTACACTGGTTTTTGTTCCACAAGACCCATAATCCCCCAGAGAATCCAACTAATTAAACAAAAACACAATCATCAAAAGGAAGAGATCTTAATATTTTCTTTACATTCTCTGGACCTACTCTAGTTTCCATTAAAAAACATAAACCAACATTATGAGATTTAGAGAGACAAAAAACTTGACATCTTAGGCTAGGTCTACCCAACCCTCTAATATTCCATATTAGTATCTTAATTGTTAAACTCTTTAGCCATTAGGTTCATATTCTCCCTTTCCAAGTCAACATTGAGGTGATCAAATTACAGTTCTTTTCCTTCCTCATTAAACTCTTGGTCTTCCCAATCCTCCTCCATATCGCTTCTCCTTCTAATACCCCATCATTGAAGTTATCATCTCCATTTTCCTCCAACTTCTCGACCTCTTTGATGGACAGATCATAAAAGTACCTCTTCCCCTCACCAAAATCTATCTTGTCCTTATTCTTTTTAATAGCATTAACTTTTGGAGGGCACACAATTTTCAGCTTCATTGGGTGCAATGGCTTGATGGTCATGTGGCATGGGTTGATGAAGTGGATCTAGTATTCTTCTTCATGTGATTCTTTCTTTGGTTTTTGACTTGGAGCCAATTATGATTCTTTTTATACCATGACCTACTTACAATAGTGCCCTCTTCGTTCTTCCAAAATCTACTTAAT